CCCCCCACCAAACCTGATATGCCATGTTTTGTTGATATGCATGGAAGACCTGCCCCTTTCTGAGCAGAAACAGAGGAGTGCATGGGGTTGGAAAGGTTTGGAAGGGAGGTGGGGGGAGGGAGAGGGAGGAGGGAGTGGGAGGAGAGGAGGGAGGGGAGACTGGGGTTGAGATGTAAAATGAATTAACTGATAAAGAGAAATAACTATGTATTGACAATGGACATAGTAGTACATGCCTGCCACACAGTACTTGCACACCACAAGGCCTTGGGTTCCATTAAAGACAAAAAGAAAAGAAAAAAAAAAAAAAAACCAAAACCCAAATGACATATTCTCTGGGTACGGTGCTACTCACCTTTAATCCCAATACTTGGAGGCAGAGGCAAGTGGATTGCTATGAGTTTGGGGCCAGCCTGATCTACAAACTCCAGGCCAACTAAGGCTACACAGTGAGACCCTGTCTCAATGGACAAACAAACTCGCTCATATATGGATTTTAGACATAGAGCAGAGGATCTCCACCCTACAATTCATACCGCCAGAGGAACTAGGATACAAGGAGGAACCCAAGAGATTCATACAAGGTCCCTCACAGAAGCAGAAAGGAACAAGATCCCCTGAGCATACTGGGAGTTGGGAGGGAAGGTGAGTGGAGAGGGAGTTAGGAAAGGGAAGGGGAGGAGAGGAAAACATGTGGGACCAGGAAGACTGAGTCGGGGAACAAATAGATGAGAGTTAAAAAAAAAAAAGGGGGGGGATACCATAATAGAGGGAGCCATTATAGGTTTGAAGAGAAAATTGACTCTAGAGAAATGTCCAGAGACCAACAAGGATGACCCCAGCTAACAATCTGAGGAACAGTGGAGAGGCTACCTTAAATGCCCTTCCTTGATAATGAGATTGATAACTAACTTATATGCCATCATAGAGCCCTCAGCTCTATGGAAACAAAACAGACACCCACAGTTAACACTGAGCCCAACTACTGGAATCCAGCTGCAGAGAGGGAGGAGTGATAAGGGGTCAAGACCAGGCTGTAGAAACCCACAGAGACAGCTGACCTGATCAAAGGGGAGCTCATGGATCCCCAGACTGATAGCTGGGAAACCTGCATTGGACTGACTCAGACCTCCTGAACATGGGTCTCAGTTAAAAGGCCTGGGCAGACTAAGGGACCTCTGACAGTGGAACCAGTATGTATCCCCATGGAGGGAAGCTCCTTTAGCCTAGAGGCAGGAGAGAGGGCCCAGACCCTATCCAAATGACTTGACAGATTTTGATATCTCTCCTGGAAGGCATCACCCTCCCTGTGGAGTGGGGGGGTAGGGTGGGATGGGATGGAAGTGGGGGGTCAGAGGCATGGAAGGGAGGGAGAGGGAACTGGGATCGATATGTAAAATAAGGGAAAAATATATATACATACATATGGAAGGAGGGAAAAGGGTAAAGTAGGTACTGTGGGTGGCAGGCCAACCTAGGCTACATGACACCCTACCAACAAACAAGGTAAGGGCCATCTTAATTCTACAGCATCTTCCAAAGGACTGTCTGGATCAAACATGCGTTTTTATAACTAGGTTCTCACTGTAACCTTAGACTTCGTTTGAGAAATGCATGCCAGGATTCCCCCCTGTTCCCCATGAATAGGATCATATTTTAACACCTATAACCACTCATGTGTACCGTTCCTTTGGTCCCGTCTAGCACCCTGTACCTGCTACCCACATAATTTACAACACACCACTTCCTTCTCTTTAACTGCCTGTCCCCCCACAGGCACTAGAATTTCTGTGATGCTCATGAAGTCCCATGAGACAACTTTTAGCTTAAAAGGGTTTTCTTTTTAAAATCAACCAGTATTCTTGATTTGTCCATCAGGCTAGCAAACCTTTTTTACGATAACTAAATCTTTGGTCTGGCACATTAAGATACAATTGATAATTTAATATGGAAGTTCATTATTTTTTAATCATCTTCTAAAATAACAGTTCATTAAATAACTTTTGTTTATAGAGCAGAGAAGGAAAATCCTATCACAGTCAAGGGGAGAACTGTGCTAAGACTTGCACAGCTTTTCAGATGGGCTGGCCACACAGTTCCCCAGGTCACAGGGCTGAGAGGGAGGGAGACTGAGTTTGCCTGTCTTCTATGAGCTGAAAGGAACCGCACTCTAATAGTACTGGATGCCCAGATCATCCAACCTGACCACAGAGGAAGATCATAAATAGTAATCAACTACTTCTGTGTAACAAGTATTGCATATAATAAAAAATATTCAAAAAACACCTGCAAGGTAGCTCTGGGTAGAGGTGCCTTGGATCCCTGGATCCCACAAGGTGGCAGGAGAGAACCAATCCCTGACCGTTGTCCTCTGAACCCCACAACCTTGTCTACACACACACACACACACACACACACACACACACACACACACACACACACACTTACTTTAATTAAAAAAATACAAAAGTAGAAATAGAAAAATGAAATATAGAAAGTTAAAAGCTATACTAATAAGCCACCACTTTATTAAACCAGTATAATTCCTGCCTGAATTATAAATACAAAAAGTATAGCTCTTGCCCTTCAACAAAGAAACTTCTCTTTGTAACAGAGACCACCACAGAAAACCATGAGGGATCAAACTGAAGAGAACAAGTGATTTTGTGGTACCTTACCCCAACTCATCCATCAAATGACACAACTCCCACACCTAAGGCTCAGGGACATCTCAGAAGAGGGGGCAGGAAAACTGTAAGAGCCAGGGGACCTGGATGCCTGCTGTGAGATTTATCTCCTAGAAACATCAGGGAGGCCACACCCACAAAGGCTCAACAATATGTCTGCCTAAACAAAACCCGAACAATGACACCACCAATGAACACGCCAACGTGGAAGGGAGAAATCTTACGGGTCCCCAACCCCAGACAAAAAACTACGGACAACTAAAGAATGCAGAGGCAGAAGAAAGTCTTTCCCAGGAAAGAACACTCCTATTGCCTATCCAATACCAAGTAGTCAGTTTCAAAAACATACATACAAGTAAAGGTTGTAAGGACTGAGCAGATTGTGTGTGTGTGTGTGTGTGTGTGTGTGTGTGTGTGTGTGTGTGTAAAACAATTAAAGCCACAAGTGAAATTGAGAGAGCAAGAACGGTGGTATACACAAGGGAAGGTGGAAACACACATTTGTATTCTAATTTCAAAGGTATTTTTAAAATCATATTAATAAGCCAGGAAGGCACAGTGGCACACATCTTTAATACCAGCACTTAGGAGGCCAGCCTGGACTATGTAGAGTTCCAGGCCAGCTAGAGTTTTCTCATTGATGAGGGAAATGATCCTACCAGGCTCTATGAGAAGAGCTGACTGAGGAAGCCGATACACTGAGCGAAGGGTCACTGCCACTGCCCACCCTGTCCACAGGCTGCAGGCCCAGAGACACAGGGAGGTCTCAGCTTCTCTACAGGATGCTTTTGAACTCATAAACTTCTGATAACATAAATGAACAAGTCCACAACAACATAACCACTTCACCACAGGGAAACATAAGGCATTAACAGAACAGTCGGCCTGAACATCAGATGTGGACCTTTCCTTGAGTGAAGATACTAACAGAATTTTCTAAAGCTTTCCTTCTACACCTCTATGCTGTCGAGTTTTATGTCAACGTGGTACAAGCTGGAGTCATCAGAAGTGAGGGAGCCTCAGTTGGGAAAATGCCTCCAAAAGATCATGCTGTAGGCAAGTAGGGCACTTTCTTAATTACTGACTGATGTGGGAGGTCCCAGCCCATTGTGGGTGGGGCCACCCCTGGGTTCCGTAAGAAAGCAGATGGAGCAAGCAACAGAAGCCAGGCAGCCCCTCCGTGGCCTCTGCATTGGCTCCTGCTCAAGGTCCCTGCCCTTGGTGAGTTCCTGTCCTGACTTCCTTCAAGGATGGACTTCAGTGTGGGAGTATAAACCAAACAAACCCTTCCCTCCCTGACATTCTTTAGGTCATGGTGTTTCACAGCAACTGTAATCTGAACTGGGACAACTGCAACACTCTGCGACCCCCTGCAGTGTAAACTCTGTCTGGGATCCAGGGAAGCATGGCATCCAGAGTTTCCCTCAGCTCACAGCTGGAAGTGACCCAGCCTGCTCCAACTAGAGAACAAAACACTAGTGGTATAATCCTAACAGTTTCAAATCTATCAATTAATGAGATGAACATTCCACAATAAATTCCAGAGTTCTTATTAAATGAGTACACTACACCACTTCCCCCAAACAAGATGGAAACCCACCCTGAATTCAAGTATAACTCAGATCAAAATTCTCTCTGGCTGTAATGGGCAGCACTGTGTGCTGGTTGTCCCAGCTAGTTCGGAGGCTGGGGCAGAATTGTGGCTAACAGCCAGCCTGAACTATACAGGAAACATCACACCCTCAGAGGAATGGTGGGGAGAGGGAGGAGGAGGACTCACAGCCCAGTTCTGTCGTCTGTCTATCTATGTACCCGGCATTCCAGCTTCATCTACTTATTTGCTTATTTATTGATTGGCTTTTTGAGACAGGGTCTCACTATGCAGCTCTGGCTGTCCTGGAACTCACTCCGTAGACCAGGTGGGCCTTGAACTCACAGAGATCCACCTGCCTCTGTGTTGGGAAATAAAGACAAGTGCCACCACACCCAGGTCATTTCAGCTTCTTGAGGGAGGCAGATGAGTAGGTGGCCCCTGTGCTCATCCCTTTGACTGAAGCAAATAGCTCTGCATACCCACCCTCCCCAGCCACAGCTCCCCAAGTAGGCCAAGGGGTGAGCAGTGAAATCTCCCTAAAGCACTGCAAACACGACTCAGTCTGAACCATGGGTCATTTATTGAGTTCCAAAACAAGCCCGGTGAGTGCAGTGTGCTGACTGACCTTCCACAACCAGAGGGACAGAGCAGCTCTGGGTTTTGCTGTACTGTTTATGTCAGTTTGCCCAGAATCGAAAACTTTAGAATCAAACCACTTTAGCCTATAGAAGACTTGCCTTGGGGCTCTCAAAAGTCTTTCTGATGATAGAGATCAACAGAACTCCACCCCACTCTCTCTGATCATAAAAATGTGTTTTTTAAAACTGTTACTTTTTAAATGACGTGAAACTAACGAGAAGCGGCTGCTCTTAGACTCGTCCTCTCTGGAGAAGATGACTCTGTGCTTCACTGCCTTCTGCCAGGCCTTGCAGAGATAGGCTCTGTAGTCTGCGTCTCCATCACCCGGGAGCTTGGAGGAAGCAGGCCACTCTGCTGAGTCCGAGGCTTTCTGCATTAGACTTTGCGTTGTTGCAAACAGTACCAAGCGGTACTCCGTGACGAGCCTCTCTAGGAGCTGAGAACACTTCCTCAGAGTAGATTCCTGCAGGGCCACACTCTCTCCTCCATTGGCGCGGTCTGTCCAGTAAAACGCCGACAGGCTATCCACAATGAGAATGCAAAGAGAGGGGTGACTACAGAACAGGGTTTCCAGTGAGTGCAGTGTGAGCAGTAGCTGCATGCTGCTGTTGCAGTACGCCAGGAAGAGTCTCCCCAGGCAGAGCTTGATGGTTTCCTCCGAGCTTTGCGATAGTCTGTGCTCAAGAACTGTCACAAGCCGGAGCATGTCAAAGTGGTAATCTGTGTCAATAAATAAGACTTCTATTTGCAGTCCACCCTCTGATTTTGGAAGTATACATCGGGCTGTTAAATGATAAAGCATTTCTGTTTTTCCCGTTCCTTCTGGACCATGAAATTCAAAAATATCACCTGTGTAAAATTCAAAAATGTCAGTCAAAGATGCATCTGTTAGCAGTGGGCCGCAGAACAAGCCTCAGAGAGCTTTACAGAGAGATGTCCTGGGATCTGAGCTAAAAATCCAAACCCACTTTTAACGTGGATCTGCATAGGCAAATGCAGATAAATATACAAATTCACACAGGATCTCTGATAAAGTTTTTTTTTTTTTTTTTTTTTTTTTTTTTTTTAAGTTGGCACTGAGGATGAAATGCAAGTCCTCAGCTGTGGATGATGCTACCACTGACCCACACCCCCAACCCAGTAGTGGGATATTAGCCAGCACCAAGAAAACATAATAATAATAATAAATGACCCTCTCCAGGTGTTTCCTTGAAAAGGACAGGTTATAGTCATCCTTCAGCATGACTCATGGACGGATTCAGCACTGGAAGGTTCTTCTGGAAGTGGCATCACAAGGTTCCCCAAGACCATACATTAAGAGATGCCCAGTGTTGGGGCTGGAGAGATGGCTTGGTGGTTAAGAGCATTGGCTGCTCTAGCAGAGAACCCAAATTTGATTACCAGTGCCCCCCATGGCAGTTCATAACTGTAACCCCAGTCTTAGGGGAATCTAACACCTTGTTCTGACCCCCATGGGCACTGCATGTAAGTAATGCAGGCATTCATGTAGGCAAAACACTCATACACACATAATGGGAGGAAAGATAATAAAAAAGAAATAGAAAAAGTTTAAGGTTAAAGCCTTAGTTGATGGCTTAGTTCATGGATGATGTCTCTTCTCTGTTACAGATTAATGGTAAGTAGGTATAGAACATTACACCTGAATGCTGTCACTAAGTCTTCCAAAAAAACCTAGCACCCTTGTCTAGCTGAAGTGCTGAATGTGGCAACTTGAAGTGAAGAGTGAGAAGAAACAAAGGAGGAAGAAGGGGGAAAAGAGAAAAAAAGAAAGGAAAGAAAAAAGAAACAAAAACCCTGGAGGTTGTCACTTAGAGCTGGGGTAATGTGAATGGTTTGACCCTGACAGCTCTTCTCCAATAGATGCTAGGAGGAGGAGGGACTGACAGACTGAGGTAAGAGGCAGAGCTAGAGCCTTTAGAACTCCCAAGAAAAGGTCACAACAATCACCTCCCTAACTGTGTAGCCAAAACACTGGATATGCAGATCATAATTCCCAGTTCTGAGGACTTAGCAACTGGGCACTGCAGTAAACACCTTTCTCCTGCAAATGCATTAGAATGCTTCCACAGCACAGACAGATCCTGGAAGTGGTACTGACTTAGAACTCCAGTCTTGGGTGTGTAGTCTGCCCACTGAGTTCCTGTTTAGCTTTATAGCAAATATAAATGTAAGCACACACTTTTGGTAGTGACTGAACATGATAGTGTTTCTCAAAGGGTCTATAATGTTTGATGCAAAGATGTGCTACAAAACTTTGCTCTAACACATGTTTCCTAAGGTCTAACTCATTCGTGGTGAGATGACGTGCTTTCCTATGGAGTACGGGGACAGAGATCTGCTGTACTAGCCAGCCCTCAGTCCTCTGCACTGAAGGAAATGGCAGTAGACAGTGGCACAAAGGCAGTGCAGGCAATGCAAGCATGGCAGACAGCAGAGAAAGAGTACGTGTATGGAGTATGTTTATGTCTGTCACTCTTCTAGCTACAGCTGTGCCCACTGGAGCTGCTGAGCCCGAGGAGGATGCATCACTTCCCTGATGACATCTGGGGCCAGTTGGATAATCAAGTAACAAATCAAGCTGTTTCCTTGCCTTAGTCATCAAACTACTTTTCTTTCCAGGAAACTTAGTATCCCTTCACTTCAATTTCCATTCACCAAGCAGTTTTTGACATTGAGACTCCTAACATAAAAAGTTCCTTTTTGAAATATCCACACTAAAATAATGGGTGTGTTGATAGACATGTGTAATCCCAGCATCCCTGAGGGTCAACCTCAGCTACCTAGTGACTCGTAGGCCACCTTAGGTTAAAAGAGGACCACACTCAAACAGACAAAACCGCACAACCCTCAGCCTGTATTACTAGTTCCAATTACTTTCATTCAGTAAAATGAATTGGTTTTCTGGACACACAATGCATAGACGCAATGGGAAAGAGCACAAAGAAGGGTGAAGAATAAGAATAACTAGACCTCCACAGTACTGAAGGCTTAGCAAGCTATTCAAATTATGATGACATCAATCCAAACTAGACTGTTATAAATTAAGGGGAAAATAGTTGAAAATTATGAAAGAGAATGGTAAGGGACTTAAAATAGCATGGCAGAGGGACTGGAGAGATGGCTCAGCAGTTAAGAGCACTGGATGTTCTTCCAGAGGACCCAGGACCCAGATTGTGGCTCTCAACCACCTATAACTCCAGCTCCAGGGAATTCAACACCCTCTTCTGGCCTCCATGGGCACAGACATATAGGCAAACAAAACATTCATACATATTATATAAAATAAACAAATGTTAGGAAAAATGGTATGCCAGAGTGAATCTATTTAAAACAAAACTACAGAAACCAGAAAAGAAAAACTAGAGAAACAGAAAAGATGTAAGACACAAAACAATGAGCAAAATGGTCAAATCTTTATCTCATCAGCAGTTACATTAACTTAAATGGATTAAACATTCAGTCAAAAGACAGATAGGCAAAATGGAAGAAAAAAAGCCAGGATCCAACTGAGAGCATCCTACAATGAATAGACACAGGTTATAAAACAAGTGACAAAGGACAGAAAAGACACTGTGCAAGTAGTTGTTAAGCACTTTATTATTATTGGTTTTTTGAGATAGCATCAGATAACTGGGTATTCTGAACTCTCTAAAAAACTAAGGCTAGCCTTGAACTCCTGATCTTCCTACTTCAGCCACCCAAGAGTAGGGATTAGAGGTGTGTACCACCACAAGGTTGAAGTTGCTACAGTAGTATCTCATTCAATGAACTTTTAAAATAAAAGCTATTATCTGAGATAGTGCATGTCTCTGAGTGCACACGTGTGTGTGTGTGTGTGTGTGTGTGTGTGTGTGTGTGTGTGCACAAACATGGGTACATGTGTGTTGAGTATGTGTAGGCTAAAACTATATGAAGCAAATTAGATGTGTTGGTTACATATAATCTCAGAATGATGAATGATGAGGCATTTGAGGGTGATCACAAGTTCAAGGTCAGCCTAGGCTATATAGTGAATTCCAGGTCTTTTTGCTTTCAATAACCCAGGTAAGTAGAATCATGTGGATTGTCTTAGTCCACCCAGCATATCATTGTCAAAATTTTAAAAATATTTTATTTTTATTACATGTATATGTGTAGGAATATGCATGTGAAGGCAAATGCCTAGGAGTCAGGAGTGTCAGTTCTCCTAAAGCTGAGATGGTTATGAACTACCTGATTTGGGTGCTGGGATTACAGGTGCCAGTCACTGCACTAGTTATCCTTTCTACCGTCGCTGGACATTTGTTTGCTTCCACCTCATGGCTGCTTCAAGATGCAGCATCAAGTCCCACTGTCTTCTACGGAAGCTCTATACTGTTCTCAGCGACGACTGCCATTTTCCTGTCTTAGCAGAGACATGTGACAATTCTGGTTTCCTAGCAGCCTTGCCAGCACTAAGCTTTTTGCTTTTGTTTTAAATAATGTCATCCTAATGGGCATGAGGTATAAGGGGCATTTTATAATGATGACTGGGTCAGCCAACAATAAGATATAGCAATAAGAAACTTTTGTATGCATAATACTCAAAGCCCTAAAACACAGGAGGCCAAATAGATGGAATTGAAGGGAGAAATAGATAATAGCCAGAGATGTCAATAGCTTACCTAGAAAATGGGATAATAGAACAGCCACAAACAAGTGCAGCAAGGAAGCCGAAGTTAGCACCAGCTAGAACCAAGAGTCATCTAGAGAGCACTTGACTCAGGTACAGGAGAATACACAATCGTCTACAGTGCACATGGAGTAGTTTCTACATTAATAAACCACCTGCCACAAATTTATTGAGCACAAGCCTCAGGTAATTTAAAAAGGCTGAAATCAAAGAAGCATGCATTTCCAACCAGAAAAGAATAAAAACAAACCAATGACAAACTAGAGATCTTTTTATTTTTCAAGCCAGGATCTTGCTGCACACAACAAGGTGGCCTCAAACTTTGAACTTCCTGCTTCAGTCTCCTGAATGCTGGGATCACCCAAATATACCAGCATGCCTGGCTGCACATCTTCCTGACCTTGGAATAGGGACTAAAGGTCTTGTACATAACACTAAAATATGAGCAACAGAAGGGACATTAGAACCTCAACAAAATTAACAACCCCATGCTTCAAAGGAACCAACACAGCCCAGACAATAGGGAAAGGACAGCCAGCAGGGAAGGGTAAAGCAGGACAGCAGGCTGTCAATCTAACCTGACCAGGATGCTGGAGCCCAAAGACATCTGACAGTCCTAGGATGCGGGGAATTTGGAACAGACACTCTTGATGGTCACAGGTAAAACGTGAAGCTACTCTAGAATCACTTTAGCTGTTTCTCCAAAGATGAAGCAATACAGAGTTGCCTTATAACCTAACAATCTCCCTTCTAAGTACAATACCAAAGGAACCCAAACCCTACATATCCATAGAAAAACTGTACATGAAACCATGGCAGCACTATTCATAGCTTCCAAAATTCAGAAGCAATTCAAATGGCTACCAAGTAGTAGTGCATTCACATAGAGACTATTCAGCGCTACAGAATTGGCTACTGGACTGGAGTGATGGCTCAGTGGCTAAGAGTACTTGCTGCTCTGCAAAGGATTCCCAGCACCCACATCATGGCTTCACAGCCCCTGAAATGCTTGTTCTAGGGGATCCAATGCCCTCTTCAGACCTTGGCAGGCACCAGGGATCCAAATGGTACAAAAATATATGCACTGACAAAACAATCATATGCATAAAATAAATAAATCTTAAAGGGGGAGGGGCTTGCTACTGATTCATGCTACAAAGACAGATGCGAAGGGCCACCTTAATTACACGAGACCTCCAGAAAGGGCAAGTCCACAGAGAAAGCTGGCTATGGTTGCCCAGGACTGACTACTGGTACAGATGGGTTTCTTTCTGGTGTGAGAGTTCTACAACTATGTGACTGTGCTAAAGACAACTCAATTATAGGCATCACCCTGGAACTAAGCTGGAGCCCTCAATCTTCCCTGTAAGCTTTCTTAGTACCCAACAGGCTAGTACCTATTTTTCCTGCTGGAGAAATATTAACAGAACAACTGGGAAGCTCAGGGCTACCTTGCAGCTCTGCAAACTTCTAAAGAGAAAGAGTAAGACCTAGACCAAGCAGAGTTCCCATGAATACTGAGTGTTGGTAAAGAGTCCAGTGTTTGTATTGAAGATGGCATTCCCTGACAGATTGGAGGGTCTGGAGCTCCCTGTCCTGGTGTGCCTCACTTTTGGCCTACACTGCCTCCTTCTAGGACTATATGTGGACATGGACACGCAGGTACACATGTGATTATGTGTGGAAACTGGTCTCACAGGACTTCCTCCCATAGGCTTTTCCACTAAGGGATGTTTTACCATGCACCGGTGAATCTTCATCGGCAAACAGGTTGGGTTCTAGTTCTTTCAGGGAGCTTCTGCCTTCAAGCCGAGCAAGGAGCTTACAAAAGAAAAAGAGGAAAACTCATTACTTAAAGGATATTTATGTAAATTTCAAAACTCTTAACACCATAATTTGAAGATTTAAAGGAAAATATTAAAAAAGAAATACAGTTTAGGAGAAACGTTATTTATGTTTAAGAGACTTTATTATTTATGTGTGTGTGTGTGCATATGATGTGTATGCCAGGGCAAGGTGGTAGCAAGCACCACTGTGGTTGCTGGAAACCTAATGTATCCTCTGCAGGGGCAGCACACACTTCTACCTGCTGAGCCATCTCTGCAGTCCCTGGTTTTTGTTTTGTTTTGTTTTAAAAGATAGGGTCTTCCTATATAGCCTTGGCTAGCTTGGTACTTGCTTTATAAGTCAGGCTGGCCTAAAAAACTCATAGGTCTACCTGCCCTCTGTCTCCCAAGTGCTGGTGTTAAAGGCACATGCCATCATGCCCAGTCCTGTTCGCTTATTTTTAAAATATTTGCCTTTTTATTTATATATCAAATATACTAATGAAAATAAGTTTGAGCCCTCAAATGAATAGTTAGCAACTGTAGGGTATAAGGCCAAACTTCTAGTGGCAAACTATTTTACAATAACACTTTTTGTACTTATACCAGTTATACAGTGGTCTGATTTAATTGGTCTCATTTTATCTAGAGGGGAGGGATCAAAGGGGAAAGGCAGAGGAAAGTTAGGCTCAGCTGTATTTAAAAGCAAGCAGGAGTCCAAGTACATGGGCCACAGGCAGGCATAGCAGGCATGGGAGAGGGTACAGCCAAAATGCATGAAAAGTATGGTGTTCAGGCAAAGTAAAAGCTGATTTGAATTGCAAGATCATGTTTCATGAAACAGGTAGGCTACTTGATTGTATTTAGAACCATTAAGGACATACACCTCTGGGTGAGTTTATGAGGGTGAGTTTAGACTGAAGAGGAAAGAACCTCTGTGAATGTGTGAGATTCATCACAGGAGCTAGGACTAAATAAGAAGGAAAGTAAAGTGAGGGGCAGGGTCCTAGTTTCCCCTCTGTTGCTGTGATAAAACACTCTGACCAAATGAAACTTAGAGGAGGAAAGGATTTAACTGGCTTACACTTCCATGTCACAGGTCATCACTGAGAGAAATCAGGGCTAGAAAACCAGAAACCAGAAACAGAAACCATGAAGGAACACCACTTGTTGCTCTCTGTCTCATGTTCAGCTAGTTTCTTAAACAGCCCAGGACCAGCACCTATGGATGGTGCCATCATAGTGTGCTGGGCCTTTCAGGGTCAACTAACTAATAAACAAGATGGTCCTCTACAGACAGCCTATTGGTCAGTTTGATGTAGGCAATTCCTCAGTTGAAACTTGCCTCTCAGATCTCTCAGATGATTCTAGGCTGTCCCTCACAAAAGCAAACACGTTGCATCTTCTTTTACTTCCTAACCAAGAATGCAGTGGGAACATTACAATAGACTTAAAGCAAAATAAACTCTTTCTCCCTAAGTCCTGAAGTGGATTTTTTTTTGGGGGGGGAGGGGTTTGGGTACCTGGTTGTAGTAACAAGAAAAGCAACTAATACAGAAAGCAAGGAATGGAGCCTTTGCTGTAAGCCTGACCATGTGGTTCTCTGGCACTGGAACTGTTTGCAGGAGGAATGTTTAAGAGTTTAGAGCTATGGGCAGAAAAGCTCTAGAAAGCTGTATGCAGAGCTTAATGGATCATCCTGGCGGGAGTTTGGAAGGCCGGAATGTGGACAGTGAAGGCCCAATTCCCATTAGAAATGGGACTAGAGGCCATTCAAGCTACATTCTACCAAAGAATCTGGCTGCATTTTGAACTTGGGTGAGACTGAATTAAAAAGTAATGAGTTTATTTGTTTGGTGGTGGAAATCTCAAGACTGGACAGCAGTGAAGCCATGCCCTGGTTACAGGCATCCAAACTGCAAGAGTAAGGGGGTCATAGAGTCTTATGCCATAGTTCTAGAAAGCTGCCGAGGCCAGCAATGTGTGGCAGGTTTGGAGGTTATTAGGTGAGGCTGTGATGATGAAACCTAAGTTTCAATAGAGACCTCAGAAGATGCAGGACCATGAAGCATCCCCTGGGAAAATCTGCAGCATGGAATAGTTCAAGAGGGAAGTTATATGTGTTACAGGCCAGAGCTGAAATGGAGGGACTTCCCAAGTCCTTTGGAGCTGGTGAGATATGACAGTCAGTCCTAACTGATACCACTGTGTTTTTACCTGCCCAGAAATGAACTACTCTATCCCAGTCATTAGAGGGCTCAGACCTGAGTAATGATTTACACAGATCCCCAGTGATGACTAAAGAAACGTTACATGGAGCCAGGCATCCCTTGAGTGCTGTAGACATTTTGCTTTGGGATGTCTGGGAGATCCTAGTGGCCTGCAGGTGAGATAAGAACTGAATAATGGGCAGTGAGGTATTAACAACTGCCTTTGCTTCTGTAAAACCTGCTTATCACTATGGGAAAGGGATGGGGTGGTCTTTTTTACTACTATATAGTGGGAAAGTAAGCGCCTGTCCAGCTATGGGTTCCTGGATACCTTTCTAATGTCTGTTTGGCTCTAGAGCTGTTTGGCTCTAAGGCTGCTGTCTTTCTGCTAGCAGTAAGAATACTTCATTTAATCTAAATTTGACTTGAGCTTAAGTCTTTGGTTTCTCCCAGTAGATTCGACATTACAACAAACCCCCAATTCTGCCAAGGGTGCCAGGCGCTAGATATGGAACTAAAGGATTTAACATTTGTGCTGCTAGGTTCCAGTCTTACTTTGGTTTGATCTTTCCTTGTACTTCCATTCCTCCCTTTTGGAAAGGAAATGTTCACTCCGTACCACTGTGCGTTAGAACTATGTTGCTTGGTATCTGATGTAACAGGAGGCCACAGTTAAGAGACTGCCTTAAATTTCAGAAGAGCTTTGAACAGTGGTGGAACTGTTAAAGGCTACAGTGATTTGACATTGGAATAAATGCTTATTTGTACTGTGAGATAGCCCTAAAACACTGGGGCTATGTCCCCCACAGCGATGGGCTCATGTGTCTCAACACTTCATCTACAGGTAGAGATGAACCTCAACTGAAGTGAGCCTGACTGGGAGAAGTATGCCATTGGGGTTGGACCTTAAGACTTTTTGTCCAGTTACCTATTCTGCCAAGATATGAAGTGAGGATTCCCAGATGCATACTTCTGCTGACATGCCTTGCTCTCCATGACAGACTGCACCCTTAAACTGTACGCTGAAATAAACTCTTTCTAAGCTGCTTATCAGTGGCTACAACAATGAGAAGGGCCACTAATACACATGTTTGGGTAGACAAAAACAAAAGATTTGAACCTGTGCATTACAAAGCAGTCTTCTGTAATTAAAGACAGACACTTAGGACTGCAGAACCAAGATGCTTCCCCAAACTTCAGATTTCTCTTCCATTAAGTGAGAAAAGCAAAAAGTACTTCCTTTGTCAGAGACAGAGTAATTGATTCAAGTATGGGCTTACTGTGGTCATTTCCAACAGATCACCCCAGTGGCTGACAGGGTAGAGAAGGCTGACTCTGTCATACAGGAAGCAGAATAAATGACTTAAATGTCAAAACAAAACAGAACAAAACAAAAAACCTAACCTTCAGTGTTGGCAAGATGGCTCATTGGGTAAAGACACGTGTCACCAGGCTGAAGATCAGTATCTGCCAGGCTTTATTACCATAACTTCAGCTGCTATTTGTGTTTACTGTGCTATCAGGGTGTGTGTGTGTGCGCGCGTGCGTGCGTGCGTGCGTGCGTGCGTGCGTGCGTGTGTGTGTGTGTGTGTGTGTTCTTTAATTGCCTCAGCAACCTCATTTATTGTTATTCTCTTTTTCATATGAGAAACCTGTAAATTTCAGAGCTACGATTTAATCAAAATCTCTCTGGATTCTAAAACCTAGAATTTTCTACTGTGCCACACAACCTTGGAGTCACTGTCAAGGTCTAATGAAATCTAGCCACAGGTACTAAGGGGAGTTTTGTGCCTATTAAATGGGATGTCAAATCAATCACGCTGAGTGAGGCAACTGATTTTCCCTTTTTTCAGTCATCTTCACAGCTGAACAAACACTGAACTGTTCCAGCAACAGCACCATCCCTGGGGCACACTCTCTGCAACAGGGACAGCACTCACTGCACTGACGCTCACCTCTACGTGTCCTATAAGAGGTGGTCTGGCTAGTCAACAATGGCTGTCCCTGACAGAAAAGCCAAGAATCGGGCTGTTCAGTCCACGATGTAGGCTGGATGTCTCAGCTGCCTTTAGTCTAAGTCAGAATCCCAAAGGAGATTCTAATCCCAGTGAAGTAATGTCTCAGCACGCAAGATAGATGAATTTACCAGTGAGAATGAGGGCAAGCAGGCAAAACACAAGAAGCTCCCTTCTTTCACGTCCTTTTATGGGCTGTTAGCGGAAAGTGTGGCCCAGATTTAGGGTGTGTCTTCCCACCTCAAAATATTAAATTAAGAAAAATTTTCTGCTGGGCGGTGGTGGCCCATGCCTTTAATCCCAGCATTTAGAAGGCAGAGGCAGGCATGTCTCTATGAGTTCCGAGACCAGCCTGGTTTACAATAGCTAGTTCCAGGACAGGCTCTAAAGCTACACAGAGAAACTGTGTCTCGAAAAAAACCAAAGAAAAAAGAAAGAAAAATTTCCCACAGGAGTACCCAGATGCTTGAATTTTAGTTGATTCTAGATATAGTTTAGATGACAACCATTTGTCAACTTGACACACAAGTACATCTCCTATGTCATGCTTAATTTCCAAGTGAAAATAATAACCAGGTCATAATTCCACCAAACATGATATAATTATCCCATACACAGCTGCAAACACATATTTTAGATTCTTCTGATGAATGTTTTAATATTTTAGTGCCTCATAACATAAATATGATAACCACTGCTATTGTCTCTATTGATGCTACACATTTAATGCAGGTGTATGCCTAGACATGTTCTTAACAAATTACAACAGA